TCCATTCGCACAAGTGCATTGGTAGCCCTTTAAAATTTCAAAGAAGCCCAGATTTCATGATGACAGCTCGTTTTTGTTTACGTTTTGGTTTTGCTGCAATTTGGCCTTCCTGGTTTTTTTTCGAATGGATATTTTAGTGGATTTAGATAATTTATCGTCTATTTCAAATCCATTGAATGAATTTCTGTGAAAAAATGAGTTTGTCGGTTTTTTTTCTATGATTGAAGAACCGGTCAAAGAGGCAATACAATTTGTGTGAATTTTCGACTATTTGGCCACTTATTTTAATGAAAATTACGTGAAAATAAATGTTTGCATTGAGAATTCATCTCTGGCAGTGAGATTGAATCGAAAAAAGTGGAAAATATCAGATTAGTTTTAGCCAATAGTGATATAACCTCAAAATTCGACGAACATTTGTTTTGCTTGTGGGTAGTGGCATCTTGGACTGATTCCGAACAAAAATATATGAAATCGATTCCAAATTCTCTGCTCTATCAAACCAAAACTACCATTTTCTGTTTATTTAATACCAAAAACACCCTAATATATATATATATATATATTCGCTCTTTTGATCGTCAATCATTCGTACAGCCATGTATACTTAACAGCGCAACGTGTACATTATGCATCAGCGTCTAAGATGATAGATTGGAAAACTGCTGACGGAAACGTCGTTGATCGATTCAGATTGAATGGTTTGAAACATTCGTTCGATTCTATTCAAATTATAATTTGTAAGTAGTTTTTATGTACTGCCAAAAATGAAAGGTGCCCAACAAAAACGTCCACATTGAGCAAAATCCGTTTTTGGCTCTGTTCAGGTGTTAATATTCAGTGTTGTGGTGTATATAAAACAGTGGCTATCAGCAGTTCATCACTCGTTCGCTTGAAGTTATTTTTTTTCGCTCCGGATGGTTGTGCTTCACCCCAGCATATCATCGAAACCACCACATTCTATCGGTTCGGCTCATTGGCAATGCATTTACTCTCATTTTGAGAAAGTGAATACAATGATGGTGTCATTTATATATTGGCAGCATCAAAGGAGATAGACGAACCCAACAACGATCGAATAAATCAAACACAAACACACACGCATACATACACCCAGGCTCACTCACATACACGATTGAATCACATTGCGGGGCCATTAAAATAGAGACCAAGAGAGAGAGAGAGAACAAGGGGCCTTGATGAAAGGTTAAAATCTCGTTCCCATCTTCAGCACTCACATATTGTCACCTAATTTGTTTAGGTATTCATTGAACTGTAAACATTCTCAAAAAGGTTTGTGGCAAACGGTTTCGTTAAAATATTATGTCTAACGATTAACACGTATCCCATCTGAACACACAGTGTGTGCACACCGGGTGGGTAGCTCTCATTGGGAAAAATAGTTGCTAAGTGTACATTTAGCTGTAAATCGGTTCGAAGAGGTGAAAAAATGACGACGACAACAACGACAACAACAACATTAACATCAATATTCTCAATTTGCAAACAATATTATAGATCTCTGTGGCGAAATGTCTGCCTCCAATGCGAACGACAGGAACATCGAAAGCGAATGAAAGGAAGAGAGAGGAAGAGAAAAATCCCTTGCACGGAAAATCACAACGGTTACATTTAAAACTATGGATTATTGGCTGATGGAGAACATGGAAGGTTTCAAAACTATGACAAAATCCATACACGATGCCGAACATCGATTGGGATATTCACGGAAATCTAAATAGATCCACTTGTTTTTAATTTCTCCCTCGCCCCTTTCCTCTCTTCCTCTATCTCTTTTTCGAAATGTGTTCGCCTCCATTAACTAATTAATAACACTTCGATAAATGATTGTGTTCCAAAAGCGCTGTTAGTTATGATAATCGACAAAAGGATAAAGGCATCAGAAGAAAATTTAATTGGCACATTTTTCGTTTAAGCCGTGTGCCCGTTTTTTGTACCCTCTTTTGGGCGTGTGTGTGTGTGTTTGCTTTTTTTCATTCCACGCTAATTTGTTCATTTGAGCCGTAAACATTAGTTGTGCACAGCCGTCGCGCTTCTATAAAAAGTTTAAATTTTGCAACACTTTTTTTTCGTGTGTGTGTTTGTGCTGCTGTGCTGAATAAAGTCGATACCATATGTTAACCTGTATGACATATATGTACTTTACTTATATTGGTTTTTATCACCGATTAAAACGTGTTTCTTTTGACAACCGACTATTCGTTTTTCTTACCGTTTTCTCTATTTCATTATTTCGATTATGCTCATCGACACATATGCATTCGCTTCCATCGAAATGGAAAAATATGCTCAAAAGATAAATGATGCACAATAAGCGAAAAAGAAACCGATCATAGAATGTGAAGGGGTAGGAGGAGAAGGAGCGGAAGAAAAGAAGAAAAAACTATGACAAGCAAATAATCGAAATACCTTTAAACATTCTTTTATGCTCATTCATTCGATCACTATACCAGGCTTCTTATTGCCTGCAAAAAAATTGTCTAAACACTGTAAATATAACACATTTGTAAAAGAGATGAGAAAAAAATCGGAGCTAATCTCTTAAGCGATTTATTACCTAGTTGTTGAAAGTTAGCTTCAACTTCCTGTAACCACCACTTTGGTAGCATTCACAATGAAATAACATCCATATTTTATGAACATTGTGGAACTGTGTTATGCATATTATAACAAAGTGGATCTTCTCTAAAATATAACACATTGGAAATGGATGCAAATGATTCAATAATGGAACAAGTCAGAATCAACAAATTCGCGCTTATGTGATTGACACAAACATGGCTTTTGGGTAGATGTACCACTGCTTATAATGCTAAAAACCATTGATTGATCGACACAGTCCCCACTCATTTCTCGACATTTCGAACGAAACCCACTAAGTCAAACACTAAATTAATTTTGAAACTACATTAAAATCATTTTATGTTTAATTGAACGAACACACATTTCAACCGATATCATTCACACTTGCTCGGAAAGAGCAAGTTGTTCCAATTTTTGGCCATCTGTATTTTTAAATTTCAAAAGGTCAAATTTGTGCTCTATTTTCGAACAAACGTTCGTTTTGACACCATTTGTTTCCCCTTTGCTTCGATATTGCAATATCGGCGGAACCGTTTTTAGTAGTCACCACGAAAATATGTTAATTTGCAACGTGAAGGCCGAGTCAAAAACGGTTTGAAATCCAACCTTTTTAAAGGTGGAATATTTTGTATATATTAATGCAAGATTTTTATTATATAGTTGCATTAGAATGAAATAAATATTGAAATCAACCACATCGTACATTGTAAGCTATTTATTGGTGGAGTGGTGCCCAATAAACCTCTTCGCAAACTTAAAGCATTGCATACTCCAGTTGTAATAAAAGCTTTTGCAAAAGCTCTCTCTATTCTTGTGGATTACATCGTCTTCATCTCATCTAACGTAAACTTTGGCATAGCGTTTGTCTTGTGAGAGAATATTTTTTTTCATCATTTTTGAGTGATTTGACATTATATTTCCTCCAGAACTCAGATTTTCCAAATCCACCCAAGCTTGACCTTAGTTCATCATTTTTAATGTCGAGGAAGCGAAGGGTTGTAACAGTGATATGATCGGCACATGAGCACCATCTCTACTGATTGCCATTATTGCCATGTAAATGAATAGAATGTCTACTTCTTCTACTTCTTTTTCTCAACATTAATTGCATACGACTTATGGTAACTCTCCGTAATCATTAGAGGTGGCGCTACTTATGCGCATCAATTGACTTTTGCATTGGCTCTTATGTACTGTGCGTGCCTTTTGCGAGGAAGTGAGCCTAACCATTTTCAATCGGTAGAAGTTCAGCAACTGATCATTGTTATGGGCTAGCACTCTTTAAAGAAAACTTTAAGACACGTATAATTCATGTTGGCTTTTTTCTATTTGGTGATAGTTTCGATCGCTCTGAAGGTCAGTAGCGTTTCCTTGCCTACTTCGCAATCTTCACAAATCTTTCTTTGACAATAGGACATTTTACAACGGTTTGAGCTAATATCCATAAACTTTTCGGTGCTTTTTTCATAAATTTAACTACAAAAATATTTCATTTTCCAAATCCATCACTTCTACTGACATGCCAATATTTGTTATCACGTTTTCTGATACTTATCTACCCTGCAACACTTTTGAATTCTCGTTTTTGTTCAAATCTTTTGAAAACTGTTTGCGATTTCTTTCTTGTACGGAATTCTGTATACTTAGAATGATTGTAGCCAGTTGACTTTAGTGAAACAAAGTGATGATAAAATGGCCGTGTGATGTACAGAAAATCACCTGTATTAGTAGCTCCATCACACGTTCTGACCAGGTTTCCAAGATGCAGAATCATCTCTGAAAATCTCTCGGAATGAATTTCGAATTAACCACTCATTTCAAAAATTTCACCCCAAACCAGAATTTTTGAAATATGCTTGGAAACAACTTGGCGTCAACGAAGCGAAAATTGTCAATCAATTTGAATGAGTGTATGCATTTAAAAAGTGCAATGGTAAGCTGTTTTTGATGGAGTGTTTTCTTCAGTGTTCGATGGATGCGTTATCTCAACGTTACGGCCAAAGCTTTTACCTTATTGCAAAATGGAAATTGCAAAAGCTCACGTCCTTGTGAACGGCATGGATCATCTCATCTTGTCAATATTTCCACATTACCTTCGGTGCACTGCTGTGTGCGTCAGATGTGTTGAAATGGCTTTCGAACTATTTTAACATTGGATATTCCAATGGCAATGAGCGGAACGGTCAATTCACTCCATCTAACGGTGTGCCGATTTCGCAACTGAATATACTTCCTTCTCCTCTGCCAGAAGGAAAAATGCGCGCGCAAAATTTTTGCTCTTGAAAACTAAAGTAGCACACATACTTCAACTCACACACACACACACACCCATCAACTCTTTAACTCAACCAATGACTTTACGGCATAGACACACTACGAAACTACAGGTTGGCTGTAGTTGAATTGTGGCAAAAGGGAGAATAGATATTTTAAGCGAACATTGAATATATGTTAGATGAACCATGTCGAGCAACAAGATGTCAAATAAATAAATTGCACAAACATTGCAACAACGAATTTGATTGTTCGAATAGTCGATTGTTTTGGTAATTCGTGACTGGATTTTGGCATTCGTTCAACATTTGGCATTGCGAAAATCGTGTAGTGGTGGTGGTGGTATCGTATCGTTGGCGCGCGCGATGCATTCATTCGCCTTAAAATAAATTCGAATACGAAAACAGAAGAGAATGAAGTAGCTTTTCGAAATATCACGCTTCTAAACTAAAAAGTCAATCGGCAAAGTTGGCATTTAAAATAGCTGGGCCATCACTCCTTTCCTCCGTCATTTCATACAGCAGCAATCCAGAGGTGGTGAATCCATCGGTACTCCGTTTGCAAGCAGAAGGGGTTTTGCGCTATTTTTTTTTTCCTATTGTGTTGTGCTATTTTCTGTGCAACGGTGAAGTAGTGCTCATTACATATTAACTTCTTTACAATAATAATAATAGACATTTTGTACAAAACAAACAATGTGTTTCAGTGTGAAGGCAAAAATGACTGTTCTCATTTTCGAAATAAAGAAAAAAAAGGAAAACATGAAGCATTGCATAATCGGATTTAATTTTATTTTTTTAATGGAATTGTGAGGCAACAGGACATTCTTGGTGTGCAAAAAGACAAACACAGTCAGTGAAGCGGACACAAGTTGATAAACATTTCGGTGGTGCGATTGAGTTCAAAACATTTCGCGCAATAGTTCAATAAATATTCCATTAAAATTTCAGTTGTGCCAATAAATTACAACGGCAATAGCACAATTGACCAATTGTCTAGTGGAGAAAAGTTGATAAACTATACCACCAGACAACAAAAAAAAAGGAGACGAAGAATAAAAATTGCATCGTATTCGTTACTGCCCTCATTGAAAAATCAATAGTGCACTAATTCTTGGATGTGCTTTCTTAAAATAGATTGAAACAAAGGAGCCGAAGCAAAAAAGAAAAACAAAAATGAGTGAAATGTTTTAGAAAGAGAGAGTAATGCAACCATAAATCGTACGATGGAGCTTTGATTCACCATCGTCAACATTGCGACAGAATGCATTGCTACAAGTGTTAAATTGTGATTCACTGGCAATTAATTTAGTTGTTTGCTCCCTTTTGACACGGTTGACAATGTAGTTATCATGATATGTTTCGGAAACTCTTTAACCGTTGAGTGGTCTCGCGCTACTTTTGTTCGCATTTGCTGTTATTAAATGTTCAATTTGCATAATTCGCATGGCATGCAATGCGGTGGTGATGGTGCTGATGTGTTTTTCGCCTTGCCACACTCACAATGTTACAACGCGAAATTCCAAAACGAAACGAAACGTGCGTTACACACATTTTCCATTCTCTCTCACCCCTAAATGAATTTCTACATGTATGTTGCGTGTCAACGAAAAATTACACACTTAATTGACGCATTAGCAGGACCAGTGTGTGTAAGCTGAAACGCAACTTTTTATCGAAACCAACGTTAAATGTTGGCGTTATTGTTATTTAGCGTTTACAGTAATTGTTTTCATTATTTTTTTGCTTTTCGGATTTGACATTGTCTTAAGACACACTGGGCTTAAGAAATGTTGAAACAATAAACGAAAAAAAAAGAAATGTTCATAAAATCCACGTAAGAAAGTGTTCACACAAGTGATTTTTCAAATGCCTTCATTTGGTTATTATTACTATTATTGCACGACATCGACTGCGAATCCAAAAATTGTTGTGTTGATTTTATCAAGATGATAAAACACGAAACCGATCTGAAATGTGATTTGATGTCGCCGTCACTTTGCATGGTCGTTCAACGTTTGTTCTACCGAAAGCGTCGGCACGTCACATCTTGCTACGAATACAGTAGCCATGGACTGTTTTATGTGCTTCTGCTACTAATTTATAGCCAATTTTTGATAAAATCGCCAGCCATTGTTTTGGCCGAAATTACGACGATGAGCCAAATCAAAGGCAGCACCAACGACGAACGTATAAAGACATCCAACGAAATGGATCACATTGTAATGGCTGTTAAAGTGGAAAATATTGGGGTTGCTGCCGATGCCGATGCCGCTGCCGCCGCCGCCGCCGTCGCCGTTGCTGACGACGAATACTTTGAAGACGATCAAGATGATGATAAGGAATACAAAGAGCTGCTATCAAACAAATCGGGTAATTACATGGGCTGGCATGACCTTAGTGTGTGTGTGTGTGTGTGTGTGTGCCAGTTTCATTCTGTCTGCCAAGTGAGATTATTTCAATGGTGCTTTTGTCTGTTTTACTTCATTTACAGCAAAAGGAATGTATGTTGGTTCGCCATGCGAGAGAGGCTGGTGCAATATCAAATTGCATCATGTGATTTGTGATAAAGCGACAAATACCTGCATCTGCGAAAAGAAATATCCCGTTGTTATCGGTCTATTAAAAGGATGTGCCAAACGTTAGTTACTCAAACATACACATTTCAATTCTAGTTTTGTATTCTATTCATTAACGAAATTCTTTACTTCTGTGCAGCGAAAAAATTGGGTGAACAATGCTTTTATGATCAAACTTGTATGCATAATGATATCAATTCATTGTGTATTCAAATTCGGCATAATGCATTGTGTCAGTGCGTGCACGGATTTCACTCTGTCAGCTATTTGAAGCCGACCAAACGAGTGTTCTGCACTGAGGGTGAGTATACTGTCCCCAATTTCAATAAAATACATGACACATGACACATCCGTGTGCATCATTGACTTCTTGTTTCGTTTAATGTTTTCAGACATGTCGACACTTACATCGGATCTGCCAACATTGCTGGGCGTTTCAACGGGGATTGCCGTTTTGGCCGGTCTCATCTGTATGGTTTTGCATTTGTTTACCAAAACCAAGTATCCACGACATCGACACTTTAATGACAATAATTTACCTCCGCCAATTATGTATTCAAGTGATACAGGTGATTTTTATTGGACTTCCATTTACCAAACATATTGATTTGTTTTCCAAAGCCTCCACCTAGAAATGTTCCATTCGTCCATTTTAGTTCATTCAGCCCGGCCATCGTCACGTTCAGCGAGCATCCGTTCAAGCAATTCATTCGGTTCGTATGGTCATCGTCGGCCATCGAGTGCACCGCATACCAATTCATCGGGCAGCAAAGGGGTGCTCGTATCAACAAGTCGTTCAGGTGCAGCTAGGTCCGCGGCCATATTGCTCATCTCAAGCCACATTTCTGCTACCAGTAAAAATACCAGTCAACGAAATAGTGACGAGAATATGAAGAAACATTTGCAGAAGCAATTGAAACAACAGCGCAACCAATTGACATTAGAATTGCCACCAAATACGGCACGCATATTGACAAAGCTATTAAAACGTGGCTTGGATAATTGTGACGATGATTTAAATAGTCTTGGCAATGGAACCACCATTGAAATGGGCGCACTTCCGTCACCAGCGTGTGAGACGGCTCGAGTCGCGGTAAAATTTCTGATTTGTTGTCAATAAAAAAAAACAGAAAAAAACATATTTTTTCAACCAAAAAAAAAAACAAAACAATCATTAAACAGAAATCTCGGAGATTTTTGAAAGAGACACACACAAAAAAAATAAAATAGAATATTTAATTTGATCCCATCGAAGCCATATGCCATGAACGACAGCCAACAATTACACACAAATAAACGAAAAACAAACAAACAAATAAAAACTACATCCACAATTCGAATTCGTTCGTTCGTTGGTTCGTTCGATGTATGTTTTGGAACGGCGTCTCTTTTGTTGACATATTTTTGTTATGTTTGTCAAGCTTCATTGTTGTATTCGTACATGTAATCTGTGTATTGATGCCGTTGAAATCAGTAAATTTGATTGAAATTCTGTTTATTTTTTTTATACCCGACATTTTTCCCCTTTTTTGTTTCCTTTTTGGTTGGTCTGAAAATTGAAACCAATAGACAACAGCATTTATGAACACACACAATTTTTTTCTTCAGTTCGATTCTCCCTCGGAGATAATGTTTTGGTTGGATGAATTCTACAATTGTTTTTGTTTTTGTATTGGAAAATGGATTATTTATCGTATCAGTTTTTAAGTAGGTTCTTTTTTCGATGTAATTTTCATTTATCAATGGTATCATTTTTTGTCGTTGTTAATTTTTCTCATCGTTGAAAACTGACTACCGCATCCTTTCGAATGAGATTTTAATCATTTTCATCGTTTAGTTTTTAATTTCGAATCATCTTGTGGCATTTCATTTAATTCTCGAATTGAATGCGTTTTTCTTGTCTCATTTAATTGTGTCTTTTAAATTATCCTTTTTTGTTTCGATTGTAAAAATGAAATTCTATGGTAGCAATTGATAAAATATCATTAGAAAGAACAACACTGAGTTCCTCATTTCCTCACCCGTTTCGTTTGGTTCGGATTTATTTATTTTTACGGTGGACAAGTTTTAGTTTCGATTTGAAAGCTCCGTACAAAATGTGAGATAGAGCGCGAAAGAGCAAAATAGTGACAGACAAAAAGAAAATGGGAGAGGGAGAGATGATTGAAAAACGCTCGAGAGAAAGAATATGCGGAAAAAAAGCAGTTAAGCGAACATTTTCCCAGTTGCATTGCCTTCACTTGATTCCAATTCATTCCATGTGATTGTTCTCAAAAATTATGTTTATCAGATATTGTGTCCTAGATTTCCCTCAATGACTTGTTGTCGTATACAAGCCCATTTCCATTCGCATCAATATCAACAAACGAAGAAGAAAAAGAAAAAGAAGAACAAGAAATATGTGTGCCTGTTGGCCAAATGCCAATTAAGATAAGGACGTAAGCGCAAATCAAATAAGATGAAAACACGAATGGCAATTCAAACAAGACAATCACATATGAAAATTCATTTCATGATTCATGTTGCCTTTCGCAACTGACACATTTTACATTATTTCCATTCAAGTGAAAGAGGGGTGGGTGAGAGCGAAAGTGTAAGGATGAGAGAAAAAGAGGGAAAGAGAATAAAAGTAAAAGATAAATGAGAGAGACAGAAATAAAACAGCGTAGTTTACTACAGAAATGTAAGCAGATTGAGCAATATGGCGGTGATGTTTTTTGGTAAACGTTTTGAATTTTCAATAAGTTTTTGACTCCCTTTGTCTTTACACATTTGATTTTACGTAAACTTTGATTTTTTTCTTATCTTTTTTCAAATACATACGACTTTTTTTCCGTTATTCTTTTATCACTTCAATTTTCGATTAATATATTCATTTTAAGGAAAAAAAAATAAAATCAAGGAAATTCAATCCAAAATCCACATCAGAGAATTTTTTTTTAAAGCAATAACAACCGCAAAAAAATGGGCACTCTTTCATTTTAATGATAATCAAACACGGATAATACATTGCATTCGCTTTTGGCTTTTATTTTGTTGATTATCACAAGTTTTTTTGTTTTCAGTTGAAACACAAACAGGATGTTTTATAGCATGTGCAGTCTTTCACAGCGCAACGTGTTATTTTGTCGCTTTCGGTCACCAAAAAAGTGTGTAGAATGTGGGTAATTTGTTGTACACGCTGTTCACTGTTGTTGTTGTTTTTTTTCGTTTCTTTTGGATTTTGTTTTTGTTTTAGTTTTATTCACTGTTTTTCGATTTCGACAATATGATGGGCAATGACAACAGCTCATCATTTGAAACACACATACACACAAACAAACACATTTTGAATATTTAAAAAAAAAGATGTTCTTTGTCGTTTTTAAACTCTGCTCGGTGCATGTATCGCATATTGCATATTTTCTTATGTCTCAACGTAACTGTGAGTGCATTCAAACTAATTGAACAACTTCACGCTCTCTAATCGCATGATTTGTTTTTTTTTCTGAATTTTTTTTTCATGGTTTTTGATTTTCTTCAAATAACAGCCGATTTGTTTATTTTTCTCTCAACAATTTATTTATACCTTTGTACAATACTTTGTGTGAACTGGAAATTTATTCGGGAGTAGAAAAACTGGACAATTGATATATTTCTGTTTGGTTTTTTTTTTCGTTTTGTTTTTTTCCCATTTCGAATGTACATTTTCACATGGTAATATAGGTTCAAGAAGACCATCTCTAGCATCCGTGCACAGCACAAGCTCTTCGATAAAAAGCTACAGTGCAGCGCGTTTCGAAAAGGAGCTACAACAAAAGGAGATGCGCCAGGAAATGAAGCTTCGTTTGACCCGTTTACAGCAACAGCAGCAATTAATTCAAAATAAACCGCATATTATAATTACTGATCCGCATGTAATCGTCGGTGGTGCCGTATCTCGCGCCGCTGCAATCGCCTTAAAAACTCCTAGCCCGCTTACGCCCAATTCTCTGGATGAACTATTACCGTGTGTCATCGAAACGGCCGAAGTATTCATTTCAGAAGTTCTTATGACAAGGAAAAAAAAAATGTTTTCTCACAATTTTTTTCTATTACAGCCACCAACGCCGGTTAAACTACACCGTTCAGAAGCATACACCGGCCTGTGCAAATCATCACTTAGTGACGAGCTATTTAATTAAAAAAAGAAAACATACGTAAAGCGTAATAAGACGTAGTTATACTCCATATACACAGACGAAATCTACTGGAATAGTTTGGATATGTCTATTCGATTCCGAATGAAAATAGGACAAAACACTTACCAAACGTTGTACTGTGTACACGAAACATTTAAAAGACAAACACACATTTCGAGAAAAAAAAATCAAACTGAACAAAAACCAAATTTATTTTGATAAATGCAACTTGAAAGTCGATTTTCAATGTCGGTATGAATCAGCATATCTTCAGAATCCGCATCGAATCGCACCGCATTTCATTCTAATCAACAAGCGACAAGAAAGAAATAACAACTACCACTGAATTCGACGGAATACGAACCAACCGAAGAACAGTTGAAGTAATTTCCCTCTGGTTCGTCATTGTTTTCCATTTTAGTCAGCAAACAACACAAAACTGACCAACATTTTGAAGAGAGAAAAGAAAATTAAGCAAACCAAATATTGAATTTAAAAGAGATATTTATTGATTAATATTTAAACACAGAGAATTACGAATGTATGTTAAAAAAATATATATATACTTACGGCTTTTATATAACGACGTTAGAGACAAAAAAAAACAATTGATCTATGTGTAATAAGCTTTTTGTTAAGCCTCAGTCAATGTGAAACGAAAAATTGCGCCAATATTTTGTTTCATCTTGGCTATTTTGGGCTTTGTTTTCTTTTTATATCTCTCACACACAAAACTGAGGTGGACAAACCCGTAGTAGACAATTGAGTACGCTTTCAAGTAATTTCGAATAATTTCCGAATCCTTTATTCTTTCGATAAATTCATATCATAGTCAATAAACTTTTGATCCAAGCAACGGGCATTTAATGCATGGAACTTCGAAAGAATGTCGATTATAAACACAAATGGGTTGAATTCTATTTAATGCACTGGAATTGTATTCAAGTGCATTTTAATGTTGTCTTTCATTGAGTAGAAGAGAAGAAAAAGAATAAAGAAAAAAAAAACACAGACACAGGGCGATTCGCTTTTCAACTTACGACTTTACAAAAGCGATAACAATGTATTAGTTAAACAAATTGTTAGATCATTATTATCAATGAACATTTTGAGTGGACTGAACAAAACAAAAACCAAAAAAAAATATAATTTAGCTATGATGTTAAAATCAATTGTGTCTCAATGGTATTTTTCTTCTTGTGTGTGTTTTCATAACTCTTCACGCTGATTCCAACGAAATCGATTCGAAAAATTCGCAGGTAACGTACTAATTCGATTTCTACCTTTTACAATTGAGTCAAAATAAAACACTTTTCAGATTCAGAGGTTTTTCCATTCAATTTACTTGTGTAAAACGTTTACAAATAAATTATTTCATTTTTGTTTCATCTATGCCTACTAAATTATTATTTATAAAATTGATTTCGTTCCGAAGGAAATTTGCTCAATACGTGTTTTAATGGTAACTTAGAATTAAGTTTACAAACGTAACAATTCAATACTTTGTAGTCAATGTCGCGCGGCATTTTCAGAAGAAAACAAAAATTAATTTCGATTCCAGAAATGACCGAGAAAATGAACATATTTACAAACATTTCACTCGAAATGAGGCGCATATCGTTTACAATTTTGTGTGTATGTGTGTGTGTGTACGATACTGAAGTATTTTGAGGCAAAATGCACAGAGACAGAGAAAATGGTTGATTTAGAATTTGGTGAAATATGATTGATAGATCATTCCTAATGACGATGCTGCAAACCACACAAAGCACGTCCACCACGTCGCAAATCCAAATAGGCCTCGATACACATCGGTGGTGAACACCTGGATTAGAGCAAAAATAAAATGAATAAAATAAAATAAAATACCATACAACAATATTGACGATGGTAAAAATGATTCAATGTGAGTTTTTCCCATAGCTTACCGCTTTCAATCCATGAAAAGATGATTGCAATTCCTTGGCCGATTCGAGGATCGTTTTATCAAGTGATTCTAATGGCTCATCATCAAAATCAGGATCACCTAGTGTTGTAGTTACAATTGACTCCTTTACCGGGATTGTGCTGGTTAGGTTGCTGTTGGTGGTGTTATTGGCAAACAGATCAGTCCAGCTGTAGCCACCCAACGTTTTGTACATTAAGGCAAAGTACAAGCACATCAAAATCGGTGCGACATACTGCAGCGTCACCACACATAAATAATAAAATATTGACGCAATCTGCAATTCAATTGACAATCAATTAGTAAAAGAAAATCAATTTCGTTTCGAATTACCGGATGATTCGCACCTTTTTCTGTAAATCAACATTTGTTATTCGACCGGCTTCTTTTTTCTGCTCTTCCAATCGATCATACGCCAAATTCAGATATGCTTGCAAATAGATTGGCATCAAGATCAAACGCAACGCAACAGCAAGTATAATGAGTAGAAAGCGTATTACGTCAAAGGCTTCTGGCGTCAGCCTGAAATAGAAAAATTAATCAAATTAGAAAAAATGATCAAAGCAAAGAATAAAAAAAATTACTTACAATGGATGATCCATGCCGGCAAATACGCGATTTGTCAACGTTTCACGGCTTATTGGTTTAATCCATAGGATTACAATGATAAATGGCAGCACGAAACTGATGTTCAATATCAATTTCAAGAATTTACTTTCACGGCAGTATTTTAGGGAGTCCCAATGCATTCGAGCCATACGAAGACCGGGAAATGTGAAAATGGCACCTAGAATACCGCACGATACTGCTATACAAAATTTCACAATGATTTTTGATGCCGGTCCACTGAAAGTACAATGTGGATTTGAAAAATTAGAACGACGCGATAGAATTTGAAGAAAGTATTGATGAAGTGATATGAAATATTGTCATCGAATTCAAAAGACCTAATAATCAAAATAAATCTTACGATGAAGAAACTCCTCGTTCCTCCAGGTACACCGAAGCACTTTCGTTGAAACTCTTGTATGCTTGTTCCAAGCCGATTTCCAATGTGTTCTCATCAACAATGAGAACAATCATTGCGATCAACAAATAGACCAAACCGGTAACGATACAAGTGGAGCGTTCACCGATTGACTCATCACTTTTGAAGTATTGCACGGTGAGTGAAATCAGTAGTTTACTGCAAATAGAATCGAAAATGATCTTTAGAAAAAACAATCAACCATTTCTGCGTCGAATATGAAACTGTCGAGCGGTCAACTTACAATGCAAAAAATACAACTAAAAGACACCACATCATGCTCAAATTGACCTCCTCTTTTAGCGGTATGTAATAATGGTAAATTTCCGAGATGACATAGATGATGCATGCGTACAGACTGAAATCGACTAGCCATTGGTATTCGGTGTAATATCGCAGATTTATTACATCGAATGGTGTCACTTTAGTCACTTCCAATTGAATGTCTAAATTTCTTGGTACATGAAATGTGTGCGATTTATCATCATTTCCGTTGCTGTATTTGCTGTGCCGATGCTCTTTTTTCGTTTTGTGCATACTTTTCGGAACACCTGCAAAACACAATCGAAATAATCATTTATGGTCATGCATTCCTACCGTACGACCGAATAAATACGGAATCAATACATACCGGCAAGGGTTTTCAATTCATTATCGGTGGGATGAAGAAATCGAATTAAACCGGTCGAACACAAAATCCATTTGGCTAATGAATAATGCGGGCTTAATTTCTGTATCACACTGACCATAATCAATGTCATCACTAGTTGTGCGCCGAGCAAAGCCTGTTACAATTGCAAAAAATCATTGGTATTTCAATTATTAATTTTCGTAACCGAATGGAATTAAAATTGGATCAACATTATGTGTAATGTGAATAGCGTATCGACATGGTAAGGCAGGAAGAAGTTCATTAACACCATTTAGCATGTATAAGAAAATATGACACTAATTAACTGCCTCGCACATATTCTTCTTATGTAAAGCAAAATATAATTCGTGAAAATTTCAAAAAGTCAAACATAACCAAATACATTTCAAAGAAGAAAATCGATTATTTTTGAATGAAACTTACCATGATTAATTGGTATTTGTCGACCAAAAATGACAAATTAATATCAACAAACAGCCGAAACCGAATTTAGAACCGAACAGAATGAATCAATGATCAAACAAAAGTATTGAAACAATAGCAAGAACAAAAACGGCAATTTAGCTGTTTTTGATGTATAGCTGTTTTGTCTGTTTCTTTATTTTCGGGAAGAAAATCTATTTATAAACGAACAAATTTTTTTTAGAAACATTTTACTCCGATTAATAGTGCCAGGCCTGGGCAACTGAACTTGACAGATGCTCTCGGTAACAAAAAAAAAAGAAGTGTATGTAGTCGGTGCGCAAAACTGTTTCGAACAAAAGAAAATACCACATTTATTTCACACTGGAACAACGTTCAAAATGATTCGATGCGAAAAATGTTCGTTAGTCAATAAATTTAAAATTTAGAATCGATACGAAGCAAAAATGAATGATTTTATTATTTGCATTTTAGATAAAAAGTCGATCGGTGAATAGGCCGCAAGATACTGTCAAACACGCATGTGTCACGACTGCATGTGGCCATACGTCAAAATGCGGGCTAAACTCACGCACGATGGCGGCTGCATATAGACACACACACACGCACATACACAGACGAAGTGATGATAAAAAGGCCTATGACATTTTGATGACATGTTTGTATGCATCATTCTCAACACGGTAAATGTTTCATTTGTGACTTTAGCGATTTTTTTTTCTTGTTATTTTGATAATTTTACGCCGATTTTTATTCGATTGTTTTCAATTTTTATTCGTCGGTCACATAAACAACCCAAAGAAAATCTATTGTGAGTTTGTGCGAGTGCAAAACGAATGAAATCCAATTGAATTGCAGTTAAATTTTAGTAATTTTTTTTTCTCTGTTCATTGTTGATTGTGACAGAGGAAAGAGCAATTATTATTGTTATTATTGTTATGAGTATTAAGTATTTCCATATATACACTGTGTGTGCGGTGTTCATCAGGGCGTTGCACAAAAATTCTCTTCTCTTTGCTGGGTTTAATTTGATTTTACATTTGTGCATCAATTGTTACACTCCACTGATACCATCCGCACACACACACAAACACTAATTCAATTGCAATGTTTGCCAATGTATTAAGTGCATTTTAATTAAATTGTTTTATTTGTTTTTCTCTTGTTTGGTTCTGTTTTATTTTTTCGGTGGTGATTTGCTGGTTTGTGCGGTATGGGGTAATGCATCGCATGCATCAGATTAGAGAGTAAATATACGAAACAGATGAGAACACATTTGGATCTGCTGAAAGTTGGTCAACCATTGAAAATAGCCTCGATTATTTTGGTTGGCTCTGAATCATTACTAGCATTGTGTGCTGCGAAGGTGTTGCGGAAAGATTAGTTATCGTGCAATTATTATCAGTTTTTTTTTCCTCTTCTTCAATCGACAAGCAATTGTTAGCAGTACGTGAAACATAAATATGGCTCGATCGTTGAACGCAAGCCAACAGAAAATCTCCGAAAAATTAGTCATTTTAAATGACCGTGGTGTAGGCATTCTGACACGAATCTATAATATAAAAAAGGCATGCGGTGACACAAAATCGAAGCCGGCCTTTTTGTCGGACAAATCATTGGAATCGGCTATCAAGTTCATCATCAAACGATTCCCAAACATAGACGTCAAAGGCTTAGCGGCTATTGCAAACATCAAAACGGAAATTATCAAATCGTTATCACTGTATTACTACACATTCGTTGATTTGCTCGATTTTAAGGACAATGTGTGCGAAATACTCACCACAATGGACGCCTGCCAAATCCACTTGGATCTCACGGTGAACTTTGAATTGACCAGGAATTACTTGGACTTGGTCACCACGTATGTGTCACTCATGGTGTTGTTGTCACGTGTCGAAGATCGCAAAGCCGTTTTGGGTCTATTCAATGCAGCCTACGAAATGCAACACAATCAAAGCGATCAGAATTTTCCACGTTTAGGCCAAATGATTATCGACTATGATGTGCCGCTGAAAAAACTCTCCGAAGAATTCATTCCGCACAGTCGGCTCTTGTCAAGTGCATTGTTGTCGCTCACACAAATCTATCCCATGCGGAATTTATCGGCGGAGAAATGGCGTGAATTGCAAATTTTGAGTTTGGTTGGAAATCCCGCAATGCTGTTAAAAGCATCCAAAACCGATACCATGTCATGCGAATACGTGTCACTGGAAACAATGGATCGCTGGATCATATTTGGCCTGCTATTAAATCATCAACTGTTGGGACAGGCGTCGAATGCAACACAAATGTGGATTTCAGCACTCGAATCAAGCTGGGTCATCGCACTGTTTCGCGATGAAGTCATTCACATTCATCAATACATTCAGAATACGTTCGACGGCATGAAGGGATACAGCAAACGTATTTCAGAGGTCAAAGACTGCTACAATCATGCCATACAAAAGGCCAGCTTCTTGCATCGCGAACGACGCAAATTTCTGCGAACAGCTCTAAAGGAGTTGGCTCTCATTATGACCGATCAACCGGGATTGCTGGGACCCAAAGCGTTGTTGGTGTTCATTGGCCTTTGTTTTGCACGCGATGAAATTCTTTGGCTTCTGAGGTACGTGTATGCTATGAAATTGTTATGAGACTAGAGATAGAAGAACCTAAGCAGAAAATCTAATAAAATAATTCTCTTTTGCAGACACAGCGAAAATCCGCCGATTGTGAAGAGCAAAGGAAAGACCACGGAAGATCTAGTCGATCGTCAGTTGCCCGAGCTGTTGTTCCACATGGAAGAGTTACGTGCATTGGTTCGAAAATACAGTCAAGTCATGCAACGCTACTACATTCAATATTTGTGCGGTTTCGATGCGACCGATTTGAATATTCGCATTCAACAGCTGCAAGTGTGTCCGGAAGAAGAGAGTGTATTGTTGTCATCGTTGTATAATACGGCCGCCACAGTCACCGTGAAACAGGTGGAAGATAATGAAATTTTCGATTTTCGTGCATTCCGGCTGGATTGGTTCCGTTTGCAATCGTTGATGAGTATGTCAAAGTCAGCGGTTCGCATAATGGATCACGTTGAAATGGCACGTCTCATCGATTCCATGGTGTTTCACACAAAAGTTGTTGACAATCTTGATGAGATTCTCGTGGAAACATCGGATTTGTCCATTTTCTGCTTCTACAGCAAAATGTTCGAGGATCAATTTCACATGTGCTTGGAATTTCCGGCACAAAATCGCTACATAATTGCATTCCCATTGATTTGTAGTCATTTCCAAAATTGTACGCACGAAATGTGCCCGGAAGAACGGCATCACATTCGTGAGCGTTCATTGTCCGTGGTGAATATGTTTTTGGATGAAATGGCAAAAGAGGCTAAAAACATTATAACAACCATTTGCGATGAACAGTGCACCATGGCCGATGCATTGTTGCCGAAACATTGTGCGAAAATTCTGTCAGCTGCGGCCAGTCGCAAAAACAAAGGCAAGGGTAAAAAGCATTTGGAGGACATTCGCAAGCCGGGAGACGAGAGTTATCGAAAAACGCGTGAGGATCTAACAACAATGGACAAATTGCATATGGCACTCACCGAACTGTGCTACGCCATCAACTATTGTCAAACGATAAATGTATGGGAATACGCATTTGCGCCTCGTGAATATCTGTGTCAGCATTTGGAAAATCGCTTCTCACGCGCACTCGTCGGCATGGTGATGTATAATCAAGACACAATGGAAATTGCCAAACCATCCGAACTGTTGACATCGGTACGTGCCTACATGAATGTACTACAAACGGTGGAGAATTACGTTCACATCGATATCACACGTGTGTTCAACAATTGCCTGCTGCAACAAACCCAGCCAATGGATACACATGGAGAAAAATCGATTGCATCTTTATACAACACCTGGTATTCGGATGTTTTATTGCGTCGCGTTAGCGGCGGCAATATTGTTTTCTCCAAAAATCAGCAAGCATTTGTTAGCATCACACCGGAGGGCTGCATTCCATTCAATCCCGAAGAATTCTCCGATGTAAATGAATTACGTGCATTGGGTGAATTAATTGGCCCGTATGGCATTAAATTGCTCAACGAAACGCTAATGTGGCACATCGCAAATCAGGTTCAAGAGCTCAAACGAATGGTAATTCTCAATAAAGAAGTATTAATCACACTGCGAACCAGCTTCGATAAGCCCGAAGTAATGAAAGAACAATTCAAACGCCTGCAACAAGTTGACAACGTACTGCAACGAATGACAATCATCGGCGTCATTCTGAGTTTCCGCCATTTGGCACAGGAAGCACTGGTTGATGTGCTCGACTCGCGTATCCCATTTTTGTTGAGTTCAATTAAGGTGAGTGGAAATCATTTGATTTAATTTCATTTTGGAGGTGACCGGTCATTTAAATCCTTTTTTTTCACCTGGAAATGACTCAAATCGATTCGAACAAATTCCATTTTCAAATGTATTAATAAGCTATCTTTTTCATTTAAATAATTCCAGGACTTCCAAGCTCACTTGCCAATTAATGATCCAATAAAAGTGGTGGCTGAAATGGCCTCGGCCGCTGGTCTTACGTGCAAAGTCGATCCAACGCTTGCAAATGCGTTGCGTTCACAAAAGCCCGACAACGACGAAGGCGAACATTTGATTGCCTGTTTACTCATGGTCTTTGTGGCCGTATCAATTCCAAAGTTGGCACGTAACGAGAATCTATTTTATCGTGCATCGCTTGAGGCTCATTCAAACAATACACATTGCATGGCATTGGCCATCAATAATATATTCGGTGCAATGTTCACAATTTGCAATCAAAATGATATTGAAGATCGTATGAAGGAGTTCCTTGCATTGGCCAGCTCATCATTGCTTCGTTTGGGCCAAGAGTCGGACAAAGAAGCGACCCGAAATCGTGAATCAGTCTATTTGCTACTCGCTCAAATCGTTGAAGAATCACCATTTTTGACAATGGACCTACTTGAATCATGTTTCCCCTACGTATTGATACGAAATGCGTACCATGCTGTTTATAAACAAGAGCAAATTCTATACAATTAAAATTAGTAATAGTACAGATTTTTGTGTAGATGCTAATCGAATGAAACATAAAATTAAATTTATTATTGTCCAAAACATCATTTTCGTACCGCAAATTGTAGAGTAGAAAATCCGGCAAAAAAAAGACAGTGAACAACGCGATATGGGTAGAGAGAGAGAGAGAAAGAGAGAGAGAGAGAGAGAGAGAAAGGGGTGGAAAGAGTGCAGGCGTGAAACAAATGTGCGTCTGAAGAAGCACAAATTAAATGAATGATTATGGCATTACATTTTGCAAAATTTAGTAATAGTATTAATAATCATTATACTAAATTATAGTTAAGAGAGATGAGCAAATATGAAATAAATCCAAATGTGGTGTAATTAAAATGCGCATATTGACTCCGGATATCAAATTTAATGCTAAAACACGTTAATGCTAATGACACTATAGCCACAACATAAAAATTGATATGAAATCAACGAACAAAATTTAAGCATACAGCAATTGTAAAAGAGATACGCTGGACCCGCACCGACCAACCTATCCATTGGAAACCGCGTGTGCGTTTCGGATGCGACCAACACAAATTTTATGTTAACTTTTCAATATTTATTCAGAAGTTTATATTTTATATGCGCATTGAGAGAGATATACAAAATTAATGTGTGTGCATTGCCGCACAAATAATGACAACGAAAAGGGTGAAGAGTGGGCAATGAGAGTCGGCACATAGCGACAGTGAAATAAAGAATTGCATTCAGCTAGTTACAAAAGTAAATTGTTCATAACATTTGACCGCCAATGTGAATTTACACTCAAACAAAACTGTTAATGTCAATCGAAATTAATTGCGCAAAAGAAAAAAAAAACACAAACGGTTTTATATCCTAATCATGGCCAGCAGCTGGGTGCAATGTGGATATGAAAAATGCGCACACAAATCAATGCGGATTTGGCTTGTTGCAACAAAATGCGAACCCACGAAAAAAAAAAGAAAAGAGAGAAACGATTAAACACCATCAATTAAATGAATCTCGGTTTTGAGTGTCATTTGGTGATATTCACATTCGTTCAACACAAATCGTTAGACGCTTCAATATTATTAAATAGTCACAAATAGACATGCCGACACCGCACCACACCAAATACAAATCCATGCATGCAATTAGTTAAATTTGTCTTGTTTATTCAATTTTTTTTCTCGGTCTGTTCGTAATTTAAGTGAATCTACGTGAGAGATTCCATGTAACTGTACGGCTATAATGGTTGAGTCTAATCAAATTGTATTTGAGATTTTTTTTTCATTTTTCACTGAATATTTATTCAAATGAACGAAAGGTAAATAAAAACCAAGGAAATTTCATTATATATATATACATAAATCACCGATTGTTTTATTATAATAATTATTTATTTGTTATCATAAATATCATGTGAGATTTGTTTTACCTTCGGAATAGGACGTCAATAACCGTTCCCACGGATATCAATTAGACGTCAATCGTAGCCCAAAGTGTTGAGAGGTGGAAAGAGATAGAGATAGAGAAAGAGGGAATGAGAAAAACACACATCGTCTGAACGTTTGGTAAGCGTTTATTTTTAATGTTTATTTTGTGTGAGTATAGTTTTCAAACATTTACAATATTCTTGACGAAAACTGGAAAATAAAATCGAGTTAGTATGGACTGTTACTGTTTAGTTGCATAAATGTGCTTTTGACTTTGACAAAGAGAGAGAGTTCGACCGATGGCCGCCTTTAGTTTAGCTATAAATAAAATCATATATATGCATATATATGGTTATTTCATGTCATTTTCAGAACACCAAAAAAACCATTTCCCTTTATTCAATATCAGAGTTGAGATTTTATATATATTTTGCTGCAATATTATATAGTTTTTTTTTGCTATTATTATTTAGTTAAAGAAAACAATCCATTGGTTATTCCATTTTCTCTAGACTTAAAGCTACAAACAAATCCATCTCCAAACAATTATCTTTGAAATTACATTTATGCTAATGCAGCGCCGTAGCCAGGATTTTTGCCAGGAAAGGGTGGTTCCACTTTACCAAGTGATAGCTTGCCCCAAAAAAACAACTATTTCGAAAAAAAATCTGGGGGTGCACTTGGAAGTTTACGGAGTTATGGGGCAAAAAGGCAAAAAAACACGAAAAATCACGAAAAATCAAAGTGGTCCGATTTCGATGAAAATTGGTACACGGGATAAGTGAGAAAATATAAGAACTTTGGCACTAAAACTGGTCCAAAAAACTGGTCCGAACTGGTCAAAAAATTTATTTTGACATTTTGACAACTCCGTAAACTTCCAAGTGCACCCCCAGATTTTTTTTCGAAATAGTTCTTTTTTTGGGGCAAGCTATCACTTGGTAAAGTGGAACCACCCTTTCCTGGCAAAAATCCTGGCTACGGCGCTGTGCTAATGTGTTCTTCTATATGCTGCTTATTTTATGTTTTTTTGTTGTTGTTTTTTTTCTTTGTCCCATTTACAGTATATACAGAAGTGTGTGTGTGTTTCTTTTTTTTCCTCGTTTCTTTGTATATTGATCATAAAACATCCATGAACTAAAATGAAATTCAATTCTACAACATGATGAAGTTCTTGCATTTATCTATGTATATATCGAATAATTCCATGGTTTATCTTTCGATCACATTCTCTTTTTGTCTCTCTTTCTCCCTTTTGTTGTTGAACTTGAGCTTTTCTTCCACTAGTTATTCGGAGTAATTTTATGGTACACGGCAAAAGAGATAAAGAGACACATAGAGAGAGACAGAGAACGAGAGTTTATGTTTCATTACATAAAGTTTCCAATTTGTTATGTTCTGTTGTTTTTTTCTTTCGGTTAGTGAGATTCAATTTTAGCACTACACAGAGATGGAATATCTAACATGAATTTGTATTTGTTCATAAGGCACGACTCTCCATCAAAATTTTAAAATAATTGGATTCTCCTGTTTAGATTAGCATTTTTGCAGAACACTTGCAACTGTTTGCGTGGGGATGACAAACAACAATGTCTTAACCACACTGTAAAGCAGATTCACTTAAAAAATATAAAACGAAAAAATATGTTTGAATTATTCTTTCTCGGTTTTGGTTTTTTCTCTCATTCTTTTTTCCAGCAAACAACAACGACAGCCGAAAAATAATTATATATGTAAAAGATTTAAATGTTGGTTTCGGCTTTGGTTTCGGTTTGTACCACCAGGTAGATTCTTTTTTTTAAATCAGATTTCGAGAGAGTATAGAATTTCACCGAAGACTGAATGGGCGGAGGAGGAGGGTGGAGGTGTTAGAAAAGTTTAGAACAACGTCGTAAATGTATAACACAGAATAACAATTAAGATAAATTATTTCATTGGGTTACACACCAGGTATAGATGTATGGCGATGCTAATGCATTTATTCTTTCTCTCTCTCTCTCTCTCTCTCTCTCTCTCTCTCGGTATGTGTGTGTTTGCGAGCTGTAATATTATATACATATTGAATGTACGATGTTTTGCGTTCAACACCAAGCCATACCAGTTGAAAGCTCGAATGGAAAATACTCAATCGTTTTCCTTCCAACTTTGAACATTCAACATTAATTAACTAAGCTTAATGTAGTGCTGAGCCATTTTTATTCACCTCTTTACCATACCAAAACCCCTCTTTTCATCGGATTGAATCACCGAGAGAAAGAAACAGTAACACAAATAAAAAAAAATCTTTTTTTTTCTTTTCTCTTTTCGTTCGCTTCATTTAAGCTTCAGCCATCCCGTTTGATTCACACACTTTTCGCCATCGTAAAACATTAGAACTTAGAAGTAGAATTATTGTCACGCTTTTGTCGGTATTTATTTATTTCAGTTTTTATTCATCGCAATCGCTGTTGCTCGTCGCTTCAAATACAACATTTGTGATGATGGTGATGGTGGTGCTGGTGCTGCTGTTGTTGTTGTTGTTGTTGGAAAAAAAACGGTGCCGTTAGACGTCGTCGATGAGTTCGTCACCATCCAACATTCTACCCGGTGCTGGCATACTATCGTCTATTATATCTGAAACGTTATCTAACCTGGATATGACATGCGACAAAAAAGAAGAAGAAGAAGGAAAAACAGAAATAGAAAGTGTAAAATGCATTAAATCGATTTTTTTCTTATTGACGAAAATTCCAACGTCTTCCTCGAAATCTTTTTTGGCAAATGCAAACGAGCGAAACAGAAGAAAGAGAGCGAACGAAATTGCGCCGAAGAAAGGGAACGAATGAGAAAAAAACGTCAAGCTTTTATTTGTGCTGGGATTACTCGGCTAATTTTACGCCACATTGACATTACAAGATCCGGCATAGATATAGTCATCCTGCACCATGAACATGACAGGCATTTGTTCAACATCAATAAAATCCAGGAGCATTTTATGTTTCAATTTCTTTTCGCTCGTTGCATGATTCTATCCTTAAAGGCATGACTTTACTTTTCGAAGCAAGCAACAGAAACACTCAAAAGCTGATTTAAACAGAGCAATTTTCCACAAATGTCCCGCCACCAAAGGGTGGATATATATATATATATGTGTGTGTGTATGGAAGTGAGAAAGGGAAAGAGCGTGAGAAAATGAGACTCTCTTGCCATCGGACTAATGTTTCTTATTCGAAAAATTTGCTGGCGAAAATAAAAGGTGATGACAATCTAATTTGATTTGGATTTAATCATCTCTATAAACGGCACCGATATCATTTTGAAAATCTTAATTGATTTTAAACGAAGATTTAGAGGAATGCGTGATGTGCAGAGACACAAGCACCAAGCACAAGCCAAACAAAATCTGCGTTGACGTCATGCATCCAATAATAAATGACTCATTTGGCATTAAGTAAACAGAGAAAATGAATTGAATTGAAATCCGTGCGATTCTGAAATCCAGATGAAAACATCAAAAAACGAGTTGATGGAGGCAAATTATACCTATACATTATGAACAAAGTTTGAAGGCACGTGAATGGCACACCGTTCTCTTGTTTACTTAGATTTTAATGTCATTTTCATGGCAAAAGATCGCACGCAATAGGTGATGAAAAGGCAAAATCAATTATTGTCAGTGATGATAAAATGATAACCAGTGGCAGGCAGGGAGGCACTGTCATATTGTCAACGACAACAACAGCGGTAACGGCATAAAACTCTTTCCGTTGTGAAATTCTTTAATGGATTTTATTGATGCCATAAGCAATTTTGGGTGTCCATGTATATATATACGCGCTCGTCGTGAGTATGGTGTCGAGCGGTCGGGCATGTTCAAGTGTCAGTGTGCTTAAATCGCCTAATTGAAGTGAATAAAATGTAATTGATTTACTTGTTGGGCAGAAATACTTACTTTTCGAAATATTCACGATTAGCGGGCTGCTTTTGTAGAAGACTTTCGCACTTAATCGTATTACTTTGGTAACGGAAAATGGTGAACAATCGCAGAATGGCCAGAACCAGCAATTGGATACCAACGACGGAGCTCAACCAAAGTCCATTTGGCCACATTACGAGTGCAACGCCTAAGGAAATGTAGAATGGTGACAGTCTCCATCCACTTAAAAAATTGTTCATTCGCCTACAGCAAGAACAATATGCGGGCGCATCATTTCTGTAAATGCGAAGACAGTGACAGCAGCAGCAACAAACAACGGCGGCCAAATTGAAACGGAGGCAGCGCATAAGAAAGGAATAAAAATGGATGAGAAAACGAGTGCGAGAGAAATAATGGGCAGTGAAAAAAAGAGATAGAGAATCAACACTGTCCTCATATAACATATTCATCACATTATCGTTGGCAAATCTTACCCTCCACTTAGCAGATCAACGAACAAAATGAGAACCCACTTTGTTTCCAGTATGAAAACCAAAATCGAGGCAAAACTATAAAATAACAAAATTGTCAGAGTGTGTAAGTGTGGTGACTGGGCAAATGCATTTTGATATATAAAATTCTACTTATGCTGTCTGCTTTTGGGCTGTATGCATGTGAGATTGTGTGTCTGTATGTTTCGGTCAGTGCCAATTTGGCAAATGTGAAACCAAAGAAATTCGATGAGGATGAAAAAAAGAGCTACACCGAAAGTGAACAAATGACTTACATTAAATAAATTCCGGCTGGTTTTTGATGGTAGAAAATATCAACAGCTACTCCAATTAGAACTGGAATAAAGGAGAAAGAAAGAAAGAGAAGCATTAGTAAAATTTGTGCTGTAAACTATTTTGCGATATGTAGCTGTTTCCGTATCAGGCATTCGAATAAAATTACACACGTCTATATCTATGGTTATACATGGGATACATAGGATTTATTGATTTGATTATGAGTTACCAAAATTGTTAGTTTATTTATACGTTCGAGAAATGTCGAACGAGAAATGTGAATGAAGCCGAACTTTGGTGTTTCATTCACATCCACGACGAAAAATGTGAAAATGGCATTTTCAAGCCAAACAGTAGCAACAAATGAATGAATGGCAAACACTCATAAATAGAAAACTTGATGGAATAAAATTTATGATAGTGTACGATTCCCACTTAAGATAATTTGGTTTTTCAAATTCAAATTGAGAGTGAGAGGGAGTTGTAAGCAGCAAAAGGGGTTTTTGCGGACGATGGGATCGTCTATGCTGGCAAATGTGAAAAACGCAAATAGTAAGAACAAGAACCAACGAAATGGACAAATAAGCGAAAGAGAGTGCCAAGCGCCAAAAAGGTCGCTCGTTCTCTACTCTCTCTCTCTCTCTCTCTCTCTCTCTCTCTCTCTCTCTCTCTTTTTGTTCGCTCTAACGCTGTATATGCTAATGTCACAAACTTTTCGTTCGGGCTAACGATCCACATACACAATTCGTTGGAAATTTTTCCACAAAGTTTTTCCGATTCGTCGGAAAATCTTTTGTTGTTTGCCAGTCGATCCAAAGCGGTACACGCTAATAACCGTATTTGTATTTTGCAAATGACATTCATTTGTGTACGTTTCTTCATGTGTGTGTATGTGTTTGTTCACATAGGATCTCCAGACGATATATTTACCATCTATTTAATTAGAATGGAATTGTTTGGGCTTATGGAATTTATTCATTTTGTTTTTCATATTAAACACATTTTCGTTTCGCATTTCATTGCTCGAGATTCGATTCGTGTTGGTTTAAGTGGCAAAAAACTCTGTTGTCGTGTTTTTTTCGTTGCTTTTTTTTTCATTATCGTCTTTAATGTCACTAGCAAAATGTTACAATGTCCTTTCATTTGGAAAATGGTGTTCGAGCCGAAAAGGTGTCGCATAACACCACTTGAAATGTGATGAATCAAAAAGTGCGCGTCGGTTCACTGGTTGCCGTGTAGAAAAACACTCGTCGCAAATTAGATTATTTTTAGAGCATTTTCTTTGAGACTTTTGTGTATTTGCATTGTTTTGTATTGTCATGACTGATGAATTCTTCTCTACACGAAAACTCATTCTCTCTGTCACTTTGTATCGTTCTGCCACTCGACAAGATACACAGAACCGCCTTTCTGATGTTGTACGAAATGACGAAGACCGTACACACAAGTGTTGTATGTAAAAATGTCGACTTAACATATTCGGCTGTGCGATTTCAATTTTAGCACAAATAACAAAAATCACCGGGAAAAAGCAGCAGCAGCTACGGCAACTACAGCAACAGCAGTGCTAACAGCAAAAACAACCCTTCAAATGCTCTATCATAATAATAACCATTTGTGAATACCACAGAAGCACATCGTTCAAAGACCAAATAGATGCCACTATTTCTTTATAGTTCAATAAACGGAGATTCTGACATTCTTTTTGGCATGTTTTACAGCTGCAATTCAAAAGTTCATACAAGCTCTTGTCGCACAGATTGTTGCTGATACTCTTCATTGCGCACGGAATGTGAATGTCGCCACAAAAACGAAACAGAGAGCAAAAAAAAAATAACCCACCGGAATACTCACTCATTCATTCGTTCGTTCATTTATTCTGGCTCTCTCACTCTCTTTCTGTCCCTCTATTTCAAATCTGCTGCAATGATTTAATTTGTTCACCTATTTTGCTTATATGTTCCGCTTCCGACAATATTATTTTTAACGTGCTGATGTTTCTTCTCTCATTAACTTAATGCGATCTTTTAACTTTGGTTTGACGCCGTGCTAAAGCAGACAAAATGTAGCATTTCGTCACGTGCATCCGATTTTATCGTGTTAGTATGAATGTGTGTGTGCTGTTGGCACCGAGTGAGCGATCGAGAGAGAGAGAGAGAGAGATACACAAGCGAGGTGTGTGTATCAGTGATTTGTATCCCACTTGCAGTAACTTCGAGCAATAATATGATGAATGGCAACTGCTGGCAGAGAGCTTATGCTCTTGCTGGCTCAAGATTATGGTTTCGTGTTACGATGTGGCCCCGTATGCCCCATCTCCATCCAACGACAAAAAGTCAAGATGATAGAACAATAATCACAACAAAATCTCGAAACCAAGTGAAACGAAGAATGAGAATAGGAGACGGAAAAAAGCACGCACATTCAAAACCAACCGCATTCATCTATCTGGTTGTCTCATTGCGCTCATAAAAACTCGTTAATGTAGTTCATTCCGTAGCATATTCTTTTGTTCAATTCGTTTCGGTTTTTGTAATTGCAATTTGTGTCATGGCATTATTTCTTTAATCGAAATTGTGTATGTATGTGCGTTTTTTTGTTTGATCTTCTTCTACTCTCCTCAGCGTTTGTTCCATACGCTAAAGCTTATTTGTTCACTCTTTTCATCTCGATGCATACGAGTCATAATTACTGGCCGATCTACGTGAACGGATGAGCATTCCGTTTTGAATGTTGATGTAAGAGCATACCAATACGAGGTTTCTTTATTGTGCACAATTGGCAAAAAGAATAATGGGTCGAGCGAGCAAGTGAGTGAGCGATTCATGTTTGAATCCTTTGGAGAACAAACGAGCCGAAGGAGGAGCAGTCGACCAGAATAATCTCGGAATATTGAAACGAAGCAGAGAGTGGAGAGTGTGTGTGAGAGTGAGAGAAACACGAGTAAACGGATATAAATAAAAAAAACCAAAAACACTGAAGTGAAATCGTCCTGCCCATCAATTTATCCACAACGACTTCTACACGATGTTGAATTTGTGCTCTTTCGCAATTTTATATGTATTTTTTTAATGCGCTTTTTACATTCGGTCAGATTTCCTGCCATGCAGTTAATATGTAGTTACACAAACGGTACACAGACACATACACACAAATCGTGTGATGTGCTGTCTTCAGCATTGGCACAGAACATCGATATGCTTATGGAAGGAAACATGCTTTTATCGAATGAATGAACAAAGCGGCAGCGAATGAAGAAATGAAATCCGGTTGAAATGGAATATGGAAAAATAAGGAAATGAATGCCACATCTCACACCAGAAAAAAAACACAAACTCAAACACATACAGTCAGTCACAAAAATATTCGGCCACTTGAATTTTTTTTTTTTTTTTGGATTTTTTCGTGTTATAAATGACAAAAACCGAACTATTTTCTATCTATTTGTTAAAATTATAATCTGTTCTTATAAATTCAGGCCGATTCCGGAAATAATTAACATAATTTTTGCCTTTTCTGTAGCCATGTTTGTCGAGAGGTCGAAATTGTGCGCAAAAAAAGTATTCGGCCAAACAGATTTATTTGAGAATTTCTACAAAATTTTCTATGAAATATCAACATAGACGCTGCAAAACGATGAATTACTAATATTTACAGTGATTTCAAGCCATTTCACGAGTTTTCAAACATCATTGTGTCAGCTGCAGGGTGAAATTTGGCCGAATGGTAGTAGCGCCGGCCAATGGAAGATGTAGCGCCACTGAAAAAGAATTTTTTGTGATAAATATTTATGTTGAGCTATATAATCGTGAAATAGGATAAGTATATGACAAAAATGAAAGATATCAATCAAAAATTTTTACGAAATTTGTGGAAATTCGGTCAAAGTATGGCCAACGACTAGTTTTTGGCGGCTCCTTATTCACGAAAGCGGCCATTTTTCGGAGACTTTGGATTTGGTTTATGTCCAAATTGATAGTTATATAATGAATTAGGTCTTATTCTATCATTTGGATTTAGTTTTAGCCATTTCTAACAAAGTTCAACATGCAGAGAGACCACTCGATTGTCCATTAACAAAATATTGGTAATAATTAGAAATGAAAGGCAAATGAAGTTCAGAATATTTTCAATCCTTGGTGATATACCGTTAAATTTACGAATAGACAAGATTGAAAATGAAGTAATTCAAAGGACTTAGCATGATAATATGCACAAATAAAAAAATTCGTATCAAGAACTTTCATAAAGGGAAAGCCAAACTTTTCATCAGTTGTCAATTTTTGTTCATGGACAATCAAGTGGTCTCTTGCATGTTGAACTTTGTTAGAAATGGCTAAAACTAAATCCAAATGATAGAATAAGACCTAATTCATACTATAACTATCAATTTGGACATAAACCAATTCCAAAGTCTCCGAAAAATGGCCGCTTTCGTGAATAAGGAGCCGCCAAAAACTAGTCGTTGGCCATACTTTGACCGAATTTCCACAAATTTCGTAAAAAATTTTGATTGATATCTTTCATTTTTGTCATATACTTATCCTATTTCACGATTATATAGCTCAACATAAATATTTATCACAAAAAATTCTTTTTCAGTGGCGCTACATCTTCCATTGGCCGGCGCTACTACCATTCGGCCAAATTTCACCCTGCAGCTGACACAATGATGTTTGAAAACTCGTGAAATGGCTTGAAATCACTGTAAATATTAGTAATTCATCGTTTTGCAGCGTCTATGTTGATATTTCATAGAAAATTTTGTAGAAATTCTCAAATAAATCTGTTTGGCCGAATACTTTTTTTTGCGCACAATTTCGACCTCTCGACAAACATGGCTACAGAAAAGGCAAAAATTATGTTAATTATTTCCGGAATCGGCCTGAATTTATAAGAACAGATTATAAACTTAACAAATAGATAGAAAATAGTTCGGTTTTTGTCATTTATAACACGAAAAAATCCAAAAATAAAAAAAAAATTCAAGTGGCCGAATACTTTTTTGACTGACTGTACATCCACGCCGTTTGTTTCTCAGTCGTTCATTCTATCAACAA